CATCCGGCAAATTTAAAGGAACCGAGTTCAAGTAGTCCGTAGGCCGGAAATAGATAGAGAACTAGCACCCATCCCGGGCGCTCGCATCGTAGTGTCGTATAATGAAACAAATAGTCTGAGACGCTTCCGCGTCTATTGTATTTTCTTTTGCGGTATATTTTTGTAAGAGCGGAATGCCCAATCCAATATCCGCCTTTGTAAAAGTCCCTAATCGCCTGCATTCAATTCTAGCAAGTATTTTCACGATCGAGTTTTTCTCTGGTCTACTCTATGACAGCATTGCAAACGAAATCTGTATTTGCATTTGATAGCGTAATGGTGCCCTTTTAATATAAGGGAAATGTTGGGGCACGTCGTCTAGCCGTTCCTTGCAAAGCAAATTTAATAGGACTTATTTTTTGCTAAATAGCTTTCCTGTTCCGCGTTCAACTTTTCCAAATGGCTGCTTGCTAGCTACAAATATTTGGCTGACCAGCATTCAGCGAGTTATCTGTTGTTTGGTTGCCTGCATTTCAGATCAGACGTTGGATCGTTTCTGCCGATTGCCGTTTTTCCCGTATTAAATGGGTTGCGGTCTATTAGACTGGATATATAATTTGAAAGATGTCAAGCTTCCCCATTTCTCATCAGTAAACTTTTCTTATGTTCTCGATTATAGAACAGAACGTTGATTCACATGTTTATTTTTGAAGGTTTCTATGGAATGTCTATGCAAACACATCTACATCTGGTCAGGATACCACTGACTTCCATGCAGAAGAACCACCACTGCCTTCTTTGAAGTCATCACGAAGAGTATTCGGTAGTGTTTCATGGTTACCATCGAAACATATGTCGAAGTAATTTGTATGTATCTGACATTCCATTACTTCTAGTCACTACTCCTTCAGCTATCCCGCACGAACTTACTGCCCAGATCAAACATGTAAAGCCGCTGCTGCAGACATCGGGAAAGCATCCTCATACGCCACTTATTCAAGTACGTGTGTTGTTCACTGCCTTTCACATTCGAGTTTCATCGCTTTCTCCCAAAGCAGTGAACTAAACTAGCGTCTTCCTTTCGTTCAGGGTTCCGTTTCGAAAGAGACTGCCATAGCAACTCATTCGGCATTATCTGGCTTATCTCCTCAAAAAGAGAAGAGGTAACTACTACTCTTTTCTTTGTTATCATTTCGTTTGTTGCTTTTCATGAGCTTGGTTGTTTTAGATTGAGAGATCTTTATGAGCGCTTAGATATGGACAACGATGGTACCGTGGACATCAGAGACCTAACTGCAGCTCTTAAACATGAGATGCCTCACATCCCAACCCGACTTGCCCCGGTTATTTTTGAACAGATGTCCTCGCTGTCAACTTTTGGGAATGCTTCAACATACCTCACTTACTGTGTGCAAACATTAAAAATTTGCTTAATTGCTGTTTTAAGAAGCTTATGGCTCGGCTGAGTTCTCGAAATGAGGATAAAGTGGATTTCGGAGAGTTCGTCAAGTATATCGTTGAACATGAAAAGAGACTGGAAGCCATTTTCCAAGATTTGGACAAAAACAATGACGGTAAGTTATTATGGCATTAGCTTTCAAGAAATAGTCGGGAGCAGTGCGTCATGCTGGATACCTGATAATAAACGGCTCCGATATTTCTTTTCTTCTAATTATAATAGTAGGAACATGCCGCTCATGGTGGAGATCTTTTCTTGAATAGTGATGCATCTTTTCCTACTCAACGCAAGTTCCGAATGATTTTTAGTTATTGTCATGTCTTCAATTAATTTCTCGCTAAAATGATTTTTGATTGTTTTGAAAAACTACAAGAGTATAACACGAAAAGCGTCCAGCATTGCTCATGTACTTGTATTTTTGAGTCCGGCTTTTCTGTTCAATTTCAATACTTAGGCATGCTGGACCTAACACATTAGATATCGAGCGTTTGGAAGTAGAGCCCAAATGGTTTCAAACTTAGGCAGGGTACTTACTCATTCAAACTTCTATTAGAGGAAGCCAGACTTCTTGCGGAACTTCTCAAGTGAACCTGATATACTGTGACTGTTGGTTGAGGATGTCAAACAATACATCCATCTCTTGCTGCTTTGTTGTAATTATGCAGCTGTCGTCGATGCACCGACAATACATAAGTGGTATGCGCGCTGTGTGAGAAGTACTGCTCGCTCCACATAAAAATATTACAATTAAAGGATTCCTTGATCAAAGCCATAATGTGAACCTTGCTCAATCCAAACTTCACGATTTCTGTTTCATGCTCGTCCAGCGTTTCGGAATCCGCTTGGAGAGCTTCGTTGTTGTTCGTATAGAGCGCGGTTACATCAAACGACTCAACTTAGCAGTTTTCTTGAAGCCTACATGAACGCAGGCGATTAAGAAATTCATTGGTGTTAGGTAGATGTGACGATACCTATCGGAGTAGTTGACCACATTTTGTTGAGTAACCAGGGAATAAGGTCGTTGGTCCTACTATACAGCTGATGATGGGTCTAATTTTGTAATCACTAACCTTAACGGACTTTTTACCTCCGTTGGACAACTTATGCGTCTTGATCATGCTATGGGAAACCGGGCCCGAAGGTGTATCCAACTTTAATCTTCTAATAAACAATCTAATTTTGCTTACATTGTGTGAGGAACGAGTGACCGTATACAGAACTATCATTGAGGTGGAGCTCCGAGATTTCACGATGCAGATGAAGTAGAACCACGAATTCCCCTCATTTGTCACTCACGGAGAGAAGGATTTCACCATCTGCTACGCGTTTTCGTACCCCCGCAATCCATCCCACAGTTCATTCGTCCTGTTTGAAAAACATTCGCGACCATGTCTTTTGAAAATTTCAAGTACTCCCGATGAAACACTCGAAATTTTATATCTTGCATTGACGAAAGTTCCTGTTCTTTATATTCAGTTCTTTATTCTTTATGTCCTTGATCCCGCCAGTAAGTAATAACAGTAACTCGTCCTGATTTCGCGAAGTGTTCATTAGTTGAGTGCTTCTAGCTATGCAGCGGTGGTTCGTAGAAAAGCTAACCTCATTGCTGTTGTACTTAACGCATGGCGTTGCTTTTGCTCTAAATCGAATAGAATCACAGGCCTCCTTCGAACCAAGTTCAACCACTTTCCAACAACGATCTAACAGTAGCCGTCTACAAAATACCTCCTTCATTTTACATTTCAATAAGCTAGAAAACAATGTGAACTGCTTCTGTTCAACAGCTACGCCTAGGATATTACGGTAAATGTTTACGATTCTAGGTTAATCTTCGTTGGGATTATATATTGATCCTAGCACAATCCTTTGTCGGAGAGCCAGAACTTCTCAAACTGGACCAAATACAAGCGGCGGTACAAGACCAAATTTCGAGTCTCGACTTTTATCAGGAACACTTAAAACTTTCAAAAGACATGGTCGTGAAAGGTTCTCAAACAGGACGAACGAACTGTGGGATGGATGCGAAATGCGTAGCAGATGGTGAAATCCGTATGTCCGTAAGTGATAAGGAGCCTCTTTACGCCACTTGGGAAGCGTTGACTAGAAGTACATCAAGGCAACGATTTTGATATCAAATGCAGAACCCTAGCCTACGAGAGTGAGATCGGCCTAAAAGACCTTGGAAGCGTTGCAGATCCACGACAGAAATCCTGAGCTGAACAACCGAAATGAGTGAATTGCCATAACTGGCGAATTCCTGCCATTCATTCTTTTTTGTGGGCCTTGAGAACACTGCGCAACTCTTATCCAACGACCGTCAATGGTGTCTCATTGGTCCCTTGTCGTTCACAAAACTGAGTGGGTGTCAACGTTGGTGGAACCGCAGAAGGTTGGTTTCTCGGTTTGGATCTTTTCGTGTTCAAGTTTCTGGGAGCTGTTGCAAATGGGCTAGCACGTTTGGGCACTTGGTTGGGTGAGCCACAGATCAGGAGCTCCGAATTGCTTTCAGGTCCTGATGACGACGATTTGTACGGAACGTCGAAAGAATAGAGCGGTTCTTACCATAACAAACCTGCACGGCAAAACAGTGTAAAACATTATACTACATGCTCATGATTTGAGAAGTCCGAACGTTGAAGTTATCTCACCTTAAAATTTTTTGTTCCTCTGATTCCATCTGTAGGCAGACACTGCAATTTGACATGGAGCGCACCTTTACGGCTTACGCTGGCAAAATTCCCATCGGATGCTCTTGATCTGAGCAATGATCTTGATCTTTTTGCCATTTTCTCGGTGTGTGGGCTTTTAGAGTAAAATCATGGAGTTCTTCCCACCAGTGGATGTCCAACCCTTGTGAGCGGGATCCCCTTAAGCTGATATAAGACCTGCTGATCTTGGCCGAGTCCCAGCAATCCTAGAGTTGACCCGGCTTCCTCAAGTAATACCGAATTCCGGGACAGATAAACAGATATGGATTCTGTTTATAGTTGCACTTTCTTTCAACGAGTTCTGTTATTTATTTAAAGCAGGTGGTGATGATTTTATAGGTAATGACTAACTGACAAATTGGCTAATGATCACTTCATATATAGAACGATTTTGGAATGTTAAAGACGTCTTTGTTCAGAGTTGTGAATTTTTGATATTGCAACTAGCTTCGCCCGCCTCAGTGCAAGCTCTGCCCAATTCAGGAGTCTGGCCCCACTCCTTCTGTTGCCCCTGACCATTTTCCCCCGTTCTAGACCTTTACCAGAGGAATGAATTTTTGATCTTACCCTGCCCGCCTTAATGCGCGCTCCGCCCGCTTCTGAGGTTTGACCACATTCCTCCTATTACCTCCAGCCACTGTTTCCCTTTTTGAACACTGTTAGATTTATTTTGAAGAAGTAGTTTCCATTTGAACGCACTCCTCGCCCATCATGGGCGGAGCTGTGTAGCCGCAACCGCACGCCCAGCGCTCATAAGGCCCAACTCACTCCTTTCATTTTTTGTGGTCTCCACGCTTTCTTTGAATCGAGTTGTGAACTTATGTGAAAAACGCCCACTGCAAGAACGCCCTGCCCACCGCTTGCTCACTGTGTGCATGTACTGCTCCATGTGATCAGAGCTCTGCTGGTGTCGCATCACATGCTTTGTTGCTTCTACCAATGCCGAACCCATTCCAAACTTAATTGGACTTCTGCAGGTAATATCGAATTTCCGTACAAACAAACAAACAGGCAGGCACAAGTGCGTTATAGAGGAGGAATTCCATTCCGCGCGTCCATCGGAACTAGGTCATCCCTTCCAATTTGTGCGCGGCGCAGCCCACTGCGGTGGCGTTACAATACAACTCAGTTGGAGCGTGGAGCGAGTGATTTGCATTGCTCCGTGTTACCTTCTCCTCAGGCTGACTGCCGTGGAGCAAATGCCAATCATATGCCCACTGACAGCTGCGACGTCTGTCAAAAATCGTGAGATGACGCGCCGCGTGCGACGGCTGCGGCGTGACCTAATTTCGACGGACGCGCAAAACCAAGCGCACCCCGTTACACAGAGTAAGAGTTGGTCGAGATGGTCAGTTATAGATGGTCGAAGAGGTTTCTTGGCATGAGAATGAGAGAATACGTTTTCACTCATTGAGACAAGGAGTGAATCAAACATTGTTCTCCTGTACAGACGTTAATCGATTCTTTGTTCCTCATTCATTGTCAATCTTCTGTATCATCCCGTCTCGTCTTGAGAAACCTACAAAGATATCAGGGCTGCAGTAGCGCTCAAAAGTATTCGGCGGAATGTTTCTTCAGTTATAATTTTCAGTCGTAGCTTCTTTCCTACTGGATCTAATCACGCAAAATTTCAATATGTGTAGTGTGAATATTTACCGTTATCAACCTGCATTTTGATCATGTTCCGAATATCTCAAAGAGCTCGAAATCAAAACCTACTAAAAGTAGGGACATTGGTGCTTCTAGGATTTCTTTCCTTTTTGCCATGTCCAAAGTGTACGAGCGCTATTGTCGAACACAGAATTGGAGAAACACGCAAATAAGGTTCGACTAACTGCAGACGTTACAAACTTGCTTTCAGCATAGTCTACAAACGCCTTCCCCTTAGTTATGTGGACGTTGCTGCTTTGCAGTCAAATAGTGTTGGATAGTGTGAAATATGTTTCAGTCAAACATATCAAAATTTCATGCGATTTTCTCCACTGGGAAGTAAGTTTCGGCAAGTTAAAGTTGCCCGAATACTTTTGAGCGCTACTTTACATTGTAAATACTGATGATATTAGAAACTCCTAAGATTTCTAATCAGACTTTGTCAGCTGTTATCATTTTTGGTAATCCATTATATGCGATTCGGCCGTACCCTATATCATACAATGAAGTTGCAGTGTTCTGTCGTCATACGAAAAGAGAAGATGATTTGTTGATCTTTACTTTTTCGCTAGCTTTTACCCATTTTCCCTGTCCTCTGGAGTGTATTTGAATTTAAACATAGATTCTTTCGGTTAACAGACCTTCTTCGGACGGTTATGTTTTCAACCTCTGTTAGTTTCTTCTTCTATTTCAGTTTGGCTCGGCATTGTGCGCTATTACTCCGCTAACGCTTATCTTGCACGCCATGTCCCGTGCGCAATGTCCAGCTCAATTCGCGTGGGTTTAGGATGTTTGGCTCATTCCCTGGTTTTCGAAAATAGTCTCTTTCCACTCCGGTAACGATCATTCTGCCCACTGCCCGCTTACGTCCCACCCCCCCCNTTCCCCCCCCCCCCCCCCCCCCCCTCACTCCTCTTCCTCACCCTCCCATCCTGCCCACTGGCAGGGTCTAACTCGAGTTATATATGTGGGTGAATAGCATTGCTCATTCCCTTCTTACCAAATCAAAGGTGTATTTCCACTCCTCTAACACTGATTTAAGGCGCACTCCGTCATCCGTGAGCGTAGTGCCTCTAAGGCCAGGAAACAGGAGTTATGAATTTTCGATCGAGCAGACGCATACACATCGACACGCACATCGACCAGCTCTTTCCTAACTCAATTTACGCTCTAGAAACTTGGACTCCAACTTAGCATGCAGTCAGCGACCACCTTGGAAACTTCAATTCACCATGAACCTACAGCGCTTCTATGCCACTAACTAAGAAAGGTAGGAAAGTGGAATCGCGGTAGTGATAAAAATGACGGTGCCTGGTGGCACGAGTTGGTGTTCGACTCCAGCTCAAGGGTGAATGTGCTGCCTCTAACTCGCCACTCACGTGAGGCTCTCATTGCAAATTTTGGCGAATAACAGCAGCTAGTAAGAAAATAGAAACTTGAACAAATAAAGCCAATTTAAGAAGTAAATGAGCTCACAGCTCTGATTCCAATATCGGCTGACAGGCCCATCATGGTTCATGTGCGTGTAGGTGATAATAAGCCACGACTGAAATGCATTTAAGGCACAGTTCACGATAAGAATGGTTTTGAGTTCTCCCCCAGGAGTACCCACCCAGTGGCTCCCAAGGGTAGCAAGAGGGACGATGTCGGTTACCAAAACTCAACAGTTAGGCATGGCGGGAGC